CTGTGAGCCTCCGTGTCTCTGAACCATACAGTAGAACAGTCTTCACGTTTGTTTTGAAGATCCTCAGCTTGGTGTTCAATCCCAGTTCCTTAGACATCCATATAGTCCTGAGAATGATGAATGCTGCTCTTGCCTTTTGGATTCTGACCTTGATGTCTTCGTCTGTTGCCCCTGCTTTGTTGATGACACTTCCCAGGTAGGTGAAGGATTCAACATCCGCCAATGGTGCCCCTTGCAGTGTGTTAGGAACGTCGGCTGCATTCATTCGTAGAACTTTCGTTTTATCCGTGTGAATGTGGAGTCCAACACTACGGGAGAAGGTCCTGAGGCGAACTGTTTTCTGTTGCATCTGGGATCGACAGTGAGAAAAAAGTGCCAAGTCGTCGGCAAAGTCCAAGTCTTCCAGCTGATTAGAAAGGGTCCACTGTATGCCACGGCGTTGTCCCGATGTTGTCCGTCTCATTATCCAATCCACCTATCTCACTCCTGTATTGACTTCAAACGAGTCTGTCTGCTGCCCTCCAAGTAAGACACTGCAGCTCATTCCCTCATACATCTTCTTGATCAATCTCACAAACTTGTCAGGTATTCCATAGTGGCGCATGAGCTTCCATATTGAGTCCCTATCTAGGCTATCAAAAGCTCTCTCGTAGTCAACAAAGAGCTTGTATTGCTGACCTAATATAATCTTCCCTTCCTTTAATAACACACATTCACCCATGTTTGTTCTTTTCCTTTTCGTACTTAAAGCCTATGGAATCTCTGCATTTCTTAGTACGTACCTCCTTCCGATATGCCGATTTCAGATCCTCAACTGCATACCCACAGTCATCGGCAATGCGCTTATGATCATCAAGAAGGAACTTCAAGGAACGTATATTTGTCCTTGAAAAATGTGTTATGCCATCAAAATGTTAAAAACTAAAATCTGAAAGATTTATCTTCTGAAGATGCATTGTCGAACCAGACTATCCACCGCCTTGGGATACGTGCTTGTTCCAACATGCAGGTTGGTAGCTGATGTTTGCAAAAGAACCAGACAGGATTTTTAGAGAGAATCTCTCTGGTGATCGTCAGAGGCAACTCCTTTTCTGTATTGGCAGCCCCACTGGCGCATGAGCGAAATTACAGCTCTCGATAGATGGATGGATGGATGGATGGATGGATGGATGGATGGATGGATGGATGGATGGATGGATGGGTGGATAGATAAATATATATTGCGACAATACATACAATACTTAATTGGTCAATTTTACTGTATAGATCTAGATCAACAGACACATTGTTCTTGTATAAAAAAAAGAAGTTTTGGAGTAAAAAATAAGTGTTATACTGACATCATTATCTCATTCTTTATGTTGCATTTATCTAAAAAGAAGAGAAATGCCAGTTTAGAAGCGTGATGGATACAAATCAATACCTTTGGAGCTAATATATTTGACCATTATAAGTTTAAATACAAGTAGGGCATTCTTTACCGCCCGCAGCCAAATTGGGACAAAATATGTTCCTCTTCACCGTGAGCGATAAGTCAACCACAATTAGAACAAATCACAAGCCAACATCTATGAATGAGGGCAATAAGTATGTTACTGTTGGAGACAGTAAAGCTAGCGGTGCGTAGCTTAGTTTCAAAATGGTAAATTTGAATCAGTTTTCTATTAAGAACAAGAATTGTTTAAAATATTAGTGTATGTAAATTGACAACGTTAATTCTGTCTTATTAGTTAGTGTTTAAAACTTGCTCTAATGAAACACCCGATCTTTCGGGGATGTTTTCACTTTCATTGTCAAGGAATGTCGAGTTAAAGGTTTGGTTGCAACACGCACAATGCCTTGATCGTGCACCGAAATGCGCCGGGAAATCCCGCCTTGTTATAGACTAATTTTTTGCGGTTCCTTTATGAAGTTGTTTTGTTTTACCTCTTTCTGTATGATAAATACTAGATCTACAGTAATGCACCCAACCTGTTTATGTGTATGCCACAAGTGACAATGTGGACGAATCCAGTTCAAACCGTTTCAAATAATAGATCAAAACTTAGGGTGATTATGTCGTGATTTTTGAATTGTGACAAACGCGACCGGACACATTGTCCCCAAGCGAATGTAAACAAAACAGTCCATTGCGGTGATTATGCTAGCCAGTAACCTGAGCTATTTTTGCATGTTAAAACGGTACAAAGCTTACATGTAAATTATGCACAACGCCCACCATTTTCAAAGAGGCACGGGAGCTAAATTCTCTTTTTAACTCATAAAGTCTCCAAAAAGCCCCCCCCC